TACAGGAACAAATTCATGAGGAACGTAGTGAATAAAAATAAAAATCCTAAATGTTTTTATACTTTCGGTGGAAATTACAAATGAGTTAGCTCACTTCACCAAAGTCCTTTTATCAGCAGGGATGAAATTGGAGAAAAACACCGCTTTTATTGTTATTGCATATTACATGATGTTGTGTCTCTTATGTAGCAGCAGAATCGAAATGGAGAAAACAATCCTGGCGAGGAAAGCGCGGATTAGTTTCAGTAGCATAAGAAAGAAAACTTACGGTTTCCTGTGTCACCAAGCTTATCTAAATCTACAATTCTTTTTAAACACATTTTTTGTCAAATAGTTGCTTTTGAAATTCCCAATTTTAGGCATTTTACAACATCCGCAAGTCTAAAAGCGCTCGCTAAAGTAGAGAAGTTGACGTTTTGTGGTCGCCTTTGAGTAGCGCTTCATCCATCGTCTTGATGTAAATTCCATCGCGATAAAACTTACAGCAACTTAATGTCGCTCGCACTCAATAACCGAACAACAATTTTGTATGTGCATTTTTGGGGTCTGCAGTAGATATAGTGCAACAGTGGTCCAGAATTACGCATTTCCGTGATCGCTACTACATAAGAGTTCCCCGATAATCGCTGATTGGCCATAAATACCCAGTTCCTCGGAAATTCCTTTTTGAGACGGAATTACATTGCGTCATCTCTGTTGGTATTCAAGCGTGAATAGAGCTTGCAATTAACTTCCAGAAGAGAAGAAAGTTTCTGACATAATAAAATAAGCGTATTTTGAAAAATTTAAGATTAACGAAAAAGCTAAAGCTAATGCGGGTTGAAATTATCGGTAGCTTTTGCAACTTTTCACAAAGAAGTGTGCTATTATGCGAAGGCATATTCTACGGTGCTAAGCCAACTTCCTTTTTATTAAAATCGTACTTATTATGGAAAAGGCAGAGTGCATAGTTTATAGAAAATCTATGATTCTTCCACATTCCCAGGATCTCATTTCAATGAGGTCGCAGGTTCGACTCCTCTTTGACGCATGATTCTTGCCTCGCGATTGCAGCGTAAGGCTGCCCCTAAGGGTTTGCTACT